TGTGCAAAGCATTGGGAATAAAACAGAATGCCACAGACTAATGGACTTCTAGCCTAGTCTATGACAGATAAACCTTGTGCTTACCCCATAATAAGTCATAGTTGCCTGTATATTTATCTCCTCCCTTAGACTGTGAGTTCGTTGAGAGGAAGAATAATACATTTTTATCTTTTAACCTGATCATCTAATTTTGCACAGTACCTTGTACATCATATGTTCTAATATGAACAAATGTTAAGCCAGTGAAGCAGTGAGTAAACAAACCATGAGCAATTCAACGAGGTAGCTTTTATTTGGAAAATCTTGTGATTTTTATAGATGAAAATTTCTGCTCACTTTCTGGTACAGGAGTTTGACAATAATCCCCAATTTTGAAACAAAAAGTTGGTGAAAATATGAGTTTACTTTGAGAGATGCTTTAGATTTTCAGAGTCTTGTGTATCCAAAAACCATCAACTAAAAGCCAGAGACCTAGCCCCTAAAACACTAACCATATAAACATTTTGGCAAATCATTAAACCGTGATAAGCCACAATTTCTGCCTCATTAAAATGGCTATATTTAATCTACCTTGCCAACCTCATACATTTAGGGAGTAAATTACATTAACATTATCATTTATACTTCTTTAAATTCTATTTGCTGTTTGTTTCAGATTATAAGCTTTTTTTATTCAATTTATCAGCTAATTGAAGAAAAGCTTGTATGATACTGATTGACATTACTTGAGTTATACAGAGTCTGTATTCCTTATTAACATTTTTGTTTCAAGATCTTTCATTTCAAAGCATGAAAAAATATAAGAGTATTCTAAAAAACAACCATAAACCATAACAAAGATATTTTTGTAGAAAGAAAAATGTGCCACACAAAGACAATAAATGTTTTCATTGTTAAATGCAATATCCTGTTCAGTAAGATAAATTTCCCAAAGGTGAACTTTAATCATGTCCAATTTATTAAGTCTATAGTTGGAACTTTTCGGTAAGATTTTTCCCCATCACCGTGTATCCCCTCTATGACCTCTTCCACCTCTACCTACCCTCTTCCGCACCCCCGCCTCGAGTCACCACACTGTTGTGCTGCCCATGCATTCTCTCTCCTTCTCTTTTGCTCACTCCCTCCCCCACACCAGAGCTTTGTCTATGAGTCTATAACATATTTTTACTAATATACTTTTTTTTGTTATTTTCAGACTATTCAAAAGTTCATCTAACACAACTGTTGGAGAAGGCCGAAGTGATTGCAGGACGGATGCTAAAATTTTCTGTTTTTTATCGTAACCAGCACAAAGAATATTTTGACTATATTCGGTAAGGATCAAATGTATACATATATATTTGCTTTTTTAAATGACATTCCAAATTCTAGGCTTAGGTTTTCCTTGAGTCTAGTTCTGGGAAATAGCAATTTTAGTTTCTTTTCAAAATAGTTAATTATACTCTGACTTTATTTCCCAGAATAACTAATTAGAAAAAGTCAGATTGTGGGATTTTTTTTCCACTTCATTCAGATTCCTTTCTATTATCATTTTTAATACCAATTCCTATCTATTTGAATGAAAGATCTTAAACCCCCACAATTAGATTGAGCATTTCATGTACACACTCCTCTAATTCTCAATAACTCAGTGTCTCTGTCTCATATCAACTACTAACTTTTCTCCTCTGTTGTGGGTCTAAGACATTAAAAATGAGAGAATAAAAGAGTGATTATTTCCTGAAATATTATGGTGAATCAGGTGGGATTTTTAGATTTCTGCCTAAATGGAAATTTATCAATTGTTATATTGAATTATTCATGAGGACAGTCTCCTGTGCTTAAAAAAATATCTTAATTTGAGAAAGAGGAAAGGAGAGAGAAAGAGAGAGAGAAATAGTATTTTTTGTTCCACTTATTTATGCATTCATCGGTTGATCCTTGAATGTGCCCTAACGTGGGGGTTGAACCTGCAACCTTGGCATATCCAGATGATGCTCTAATCAACTGAGCTACCCGGCTCAGTTTGTAGTGTTTGGCTAATATTTCTAGCCTATGTTTAGTCTTGGAGCAGTTTCCTAGAATTCAAAAGAATTTTAAACAACAGTTAGTTTCAATACTTATAGCCCCCCCCCTTTCATATTTGTAGGAGAAAATTTCAGGAGAGTGAATAGGCAGATGTGTTTTTTTTAAGGGAGACTAAGTATTTTAAAATAAATCTTATATAGGTTCTAAAACTTTTAATTTATAATTACAAATTATAGGAATTCCTATAATTTGTTATTTTTTAAAGCCTTGGTTTCACATTAAACTCTAAAGGAATCTCAAATTGACAGGATTGTATATGAAAAAAGAAATTAGGAAACTTTGTTGTTTCATACCACTCTAGTTTTTCTTAAATCAAGGTCGTGGGTCCAGATTTCAATCATGTCCAAGTTGTGTAAAATGCAACAACAACAAAAAAATCAGAGAGAGAGAATTTAGGTGGTAGCGTTGTTCAAATGAAGTACTTTGCAATATCATATAGTTTTATATAGTTTGATGGCAAAAAAAAGCCAAAACATTCCTGTCTTATGTTTGAATATCCTATGAATAACAAGTTTAGTTCATGACTCTTTTAGTTGGTAAATTTTCTACCCTTGAGTCTATATAACTCATGGTGGATGCCATTCACTTAATTTAGAGAGTACAAAATGAGAGATACAACACAAATTATTATACCTGTCAACTGTTGAATAGAAATAGAAATGACCACATATAACAAGAAAGTTATTCCTTTATATTTGTTAAGTGTAAAATTTGAAAACAAAAAAAAAAAAAGATTCACTATTGCTATTTTCTTTAATAAGAAATACAGCAATAGAAATAAATACATCTTTGGTATTAGGTTTAGATTACTGGAATACTGCTAATGTCTATTTTATATGACCACTAGAGGTCAGTATTTCTCTGATTTTCTGTTCTCTGGGTGGGCCCTGGCTTTTTACTTTCAGGTCCTTAGACTCTAAAATTGGCTACATCGGTTTCCAAAAATTCTTCCAAGAAAAAAAAAGTCAGAGAGCGTGGAATATGCAAAAGGCTATTGTATATACAGTTATTCCAATATACTAGTATAAAAAATGTATTTACTAATAAGGAAATTTATTTTTGTTGGATTTTTCCATGACAATTGTAAATTCATATATAAATTAGTTTATGACCAGAAAATTTATTATGTTAAAGATCTCTGAGGTTTGAGCCCTGGCCAGTTTCGCTCAGCAGTTAGAGCATCGGCCTCCAGAGAGACCCGGGTTCGGTTCCCGCTAAGGGCACATACTTCGGTTGCAGTTTGTCCCCGGCCCTGGTTGGTCCTGCGGGTGGCAGCCACTCGATGTGTCCCTTCACATAGATGTTTCTCCCTCTCTCTCCCTCCCACTCTATCTGTACAAGAAATGGAAAAATATCCTCAGGTGAGGATTAAAAAAAAAAAAAAAAAATCTCTGAGGTTTGAAATGGAACATCCTTACCTTATGGTCAAGGCTAGAACTTAACCATCTATAGGTAATGTCAAAAATGCATTCTCCTAGCCCTGATTAGTTTGGTTCAGTGGTTGGAGCATCAGCCTGTGGGCAGGAGATCCGGATTCAGTTCCCACTGAGGGCACGTACTTCGGTTGCAGTTCATCCCTGGCCCTGGTTTGGGTCATGTGGATGGCAGCCAGTCTGTGTGTCTCTCGCATATTGATGTTTCTCTCTCTCCCTTCCCCCCTCTCTCCCTCCCCCCCTCTCTGAAGATAAATGCAAAAGTGTCCTCGGGTGAGAAAATAAATAAATAAATAAATAAATTCTCCTTGATGTGATATAGGATGAGCATTTAGGCTTCTAACAGACAGTTGACTTTTAATCCTAGCATCATTCAAAGCTATAAATCAGCAGCTTTACCACTACTGTACCAAACATTGACCATTTCTTTTCTCTTGCAGGGAACATCATGGGAATGCTATGCAGCCCTCTGTCAAAGATAACAGTGGTAGCCATGGCTCTCCTATCAGTGGAAAATTAGAAGGCATCTTCTTCAGCTGCAGCACTGAATTCAATACTGGGAAGCCACCCCAGGATTCACCTTATGGAAGATACAGGTTTGAGATCGCAGCAGAAAAACTTTTTAACCCCAATACTAACTTATACTTTGGGGACTTCTACTGTATGTACACTGCTTATCATTATGTGATTCTTGTTATTGCCCCTGTGGGATCACCAGGAGATGAATTTTGTAAGCAGCGTCTTCCTCAACTAAATTCCAAGGATAATAAGTTTTTGACCTGCATAGAAGAAGATGGGGTGCTCGTTTACCACCATGCCCAGGATGTCATTTTAGAAGTCATTTACACTGACCCCGTGGATCTTTCTCTGGGCACCGTGGCAGAAATCACTGGTCATCAGCTCATGAGTTTGTCTACTGCAAATGCAAAGAAAGATCCCAGCTGCAAAACCTGTAATATCAGTGTTGGACGTTAATGCCCACTTTTCCTACTCTTCATTCAGTCCCTTTCTTTCCCTTAGGAGCACTGATCGTCCGTTGTCCATTTTCATGACCAGATGTTTTCCACTGAAGCATGCACATGCCGCTATCACCAAAAGCAAACTTCCACTTTTCAAATGTCATTCAGAGCCGTTTTAGTGTTTCCTATTGCCTTCCCATCCCACTTTCTATGATGAAATATTCTGTTCTCCTTCTGACACTTTATTGCCTAGATGCTGCAATGTTTTTATTTCTCCTTTATGCCAAACATAACAAAACAATTATATAAACCGCTTTAGCAAAATACAAAATAATGGCTTATAAATGGTGTTTAAATATGCATTCATTTTAATCTACTGAACAAATGTTGGGATAACTCCAAACCGCATGAAAGGGTGTAATTGCAGCATGAGTTAAATCTTGAAGCCTAGAATTGTCAGCACTTCCAACTTGTTGTTTGACAGTGTTATTTATGTTATTTATATTAGCTAACAGGAAGCAACTACTGTGTTTCAACATAATAAATATAATAGAAAAATATTTTATTTGTATTGTATAAAATATTTACAATCATATAGAATATATAGTTACATTTTAATAGCAATTGTATACATGTCACGAAACCATTTCCCTTATCAAAGATGTAGTTTGTAAACCTCAAATAGTTGTGTATCTGTCCTGTTACAAGTAGATGACTTTAATTAAACAAATTTATGAAGGACATTATTCTGATTCATAAAAGTTACAAAATATCAGGTAAATACAGAGAAAACAATAAGCCTCTGAAATAGTCAATATTCTTCCCATCCAAACTATATGAAAATGTGAATTTGTTCAAACATCATGCTTAAACATTAGAAATACAAACACGGTTGGTACAAGAGAAAATGTCGATCTTTCACTTATTTTTACAAAAGCAAAAATAATAAACGTGTTTTAGTATAAAATAACAAAACAATATAAAGTTGATGAAGCAAATAAAATATTCTGGCTTTTTTTCCAAGGTGTCATACCAAACAATTTTCAAATCTTTCATTTTGTACAGAACGGAGAATAACTACAGCTCATGAGAAAGCTCTTTGACTACAAAGTATAGACCTTGGAACATTAAGAAAAATGCGTATTCCCAATGGAAAAATAGTTATATAATCTTAGTTATAGTAAACAAAAAGATTAGCAATCATAACTATGATCACATTAGATATATACTGCAGACACTTGTCTATCCAAAATACCTATTTTCAAATTTTAATACAATATTTTATTTTAATATAAACATCTGTCAATTATAGACAAAGATAATTCACAAAGTACATGCTATCAGAATGAGCTTTGGTAATCAGAAATGTTAAATTTCAATTAACATAAAATAATGTGCTATTTTTATATTGATATAAAAAATTAGCAGTGACGTGTTCTAGTGTATTTCAGGGTACTGAGAGCCTCACAGACATAGGGGACCAGGTAGATTTTTTATCACTTAAAAACCTAATAGAAGTTTCAAATTACATTTTTACTATCTGTATTCCTTCCTATCTGAAAAGAGTTTCTTTTCCTGCATTTATTAATGTTTAAAATCATGCTTTTTTCCATACATCAGGATAAGCAGTCTTTGGACACTAAATAGACTTTCTCTAACAAGTGGCCCATTGAACAAGTGGATGCTATGTAATATTTAGATTTGATAAAATAGTAGATGTTTTCCGAAATAATTATACTGACTGAGTTTTCTCCTTGGCATAGATGAAGTTAAATTTTATTTTTCTAATTATACTGTTACATATTATATTTCCCCCATTTAAATCTCTCCTCATCATTTATAATTCCACTTGCCATCCCTTCTTAAAAACTACCTACCTACCACTAAAGTGCTTCAGTTTTCGGTATTTCAAAACTACTTACTCAGCAAGAATGGCAGAAGAAAATAAACTCTATCTTGGATGAATGTGGTCACGAACATTTCTTGAACCTCAAATTGTTTTGACCACATCTTGCTTGCTGATAAGGACCTCTAGCAGTCTCAGTTTGGCTTTTATGTGCTTATATTCACAGTACTCATCTGCCATGGGTATCCTATCTTCCTTTTGTGGACTTCTGCAAAACAGAAAATACCATCTATTAGTTCACAATGAATCAAGTCGTCATAAATCCTTTCATAATTCTTACTTGAGAAAGTACAGGGTAGCAGTTTCCACTTGGTTTTTGCATTGTGTCTGTTTTACCTTCCCTTTCACCTTCATTCACTCCCTCCTCCATATGTTATTACATTTCTATCTAATAGTACCCTTGAGAACTTGAGTGTCATACATGTTTTGCAAATATACAGTCCAGTGCACAGGCATATAACAACAATAGGGCAGGTGACAAAGTCTGAGGAAACAAACACCAGAACCCTCAAGGCATGCCTTGAGTAGTCATTCTCCCTTTATCCGTGCTGCAGGTCCATGGCTGTGCAGGACGTTCCGCCTTTACAGTGACTGTTGTTCAAATACTACAGGAATCATACTAACAAAAATAACTTATAAATTTATGGTACTATAAGTAGAAAAGCTCAATGGCTACCTTACAAACAAGAAATATTTCCAAGTTTTCTTATCATCGCAATGCCTGTTTCTGTAAATATGTAATAGAATCACCGAGAAGTTATTTGATTTAAGTAGTTTATGAATGTAAATTTCAGTGGTTCTCTTGGCATACTAATTATACTAACACTAGATATATAACAATGCATAGATTTTTATACATGTGCATTCTAACTACTGCATGTTCTTGCCATGTACTTTGAACAAAAACTGGGAAACATCTGCAGTTAAAACCATTCACCTTCTCACAAAATTATGTTCCAGGACATCTCCCTAAAGGGCAATAATCGCTTCAGGATCTCAGAAAGCTCGTCTCCTTGTTTGATAAGATGGCCAATTGCATATAAGACGTTTCCACCCATGACTTTGAAATACAAGGGGTAGAAAACATAAATGAAGTCACCACAATTGCTACCAAATATAAAAACAGCTCCTCTCCAATATTAAAATAGCTGAAAATGGGTAAATGTCAAACATTTAATGTTTTACCTATCCCCCATTCCATTTTCCCAGTATTGATATATCTCTTACAAATAAAAAAAGCTAATCCCTAAAAATGTAGTTTTCTATAGTATTGCACCACTATACACTGTTCTGCAATTTCTAATACAGAACTCAGAACAGTAGTTAAATCTATAGACAGGGTTCCCATTAAATGTCTAAATTATATAACATAATTCCTTTGCTTCCATTCTGTATTATGGGCCAAACTTATAACTAGGTGTCTAAATACACCTTAATTTGTATACACATATATAAGTGAATAATATGATCTAACTTATAGGAAAATATGAATAATCTACTATATAAATTTTCCCTGGTCCTGTGTACTCCATTTCAACTAATAAACAAGAGTGTATTGGCCAGAATGAAAAATTCTGCTAGTATTTCCTGAAGCAGCTTTCCTGTTACATAAAACATGCTTAAAGTATTTATTGACATAGTTCCTGGCACAGGAGGGCATACAGCCTCAGTCAAACATAGGCTTATCTGAAGTGGGTTCAGGACTCACAGGTGCAGAATACTATATGTGGAACATAACTAACTTCCTTGCATGTCAGAAGTTATGCCAAGTACCACTGCAGATCCATTAAGCAGGATACTAGTAAATTGGGAAGTTCTCAAACTCTTTAAAGTAGACTCCTGCATTCAAACAGGTAAAATTTTAATGTACAAGGTGTATGGAAATTTTATAAAGGGGAAAAATGGAAATGGAAAAAATAAGAAATTATGTTTTATGGTCTAAGCTTAACAGCCACATCACACTCTCACTAGATTAGTTAACATCAGCAGAAAAGAAAGTAACTTGGACTTGTAGCAATCACTTGGAAAGGAAGACTCCAAGCAGAAAACTAGGTTGGTTACGTCTGTATTTTCTGAATGCAAAACGTTTCTGACTTAGTAGGTCCAGTTTTAGTGAACAGCTCTGAAGGACTGAAATGGAAACACTGCTGACTTAGAGGTGCGTAGACCTAAGCTTCCAAGGTGCTTTAGAATATAGTCTCTCTCCTTCAGGGCAGCCTCATTCTCTGAAGTGGAAGCACTTCAGGAGGGCAGATGTGTAGAAGGAGAGGAAGACCGAGGAGCCACTGTGCCACTGACCTCCTCCTCGACCACCTTAATAACTTTGTGACTTTGGGAAAATTATACCCTTTATTATTATTGTTTTAAGACTGACATCCAATATGACAGCTATAGCTTCCCAGAGTATCCCAGGAAGTGCAGTCATTTCGTCATGGAAACAGGCTCAGGATAGCTAAGTGATCTGTCACTGTCTCTTCCAGAAGTAGACCAGTAACCAATATAATTTTGTTGACTATACACCAAAATTTAGAGGAAACTAATGGGGCGCATATTGAGATATCTGGGTCAACACAGAAAAAGGGGATCTAGCTAAACAGTTAATGAAGGGACAGAAAAAATAACGATGAACTTCTGATCAAATCCTGAAATAAAATAATGAAGGGCTGATCCTAAAGTTTAAAGCATATATTTAAAGTAAAAGACAAATTATGTAATAAAATAGAGAATAACTTGTGGAACTAAGTAACCAAGAACAAAGAAGTTAAAATCAGATTTTCTGTAAAGGTTTAGATAAATTCAATAGTTATATTTAAAGTTAGGGATTTTTTAAGTTCGTCCTTTATTTTTTAAACTTTAATGTCATTCTTGACAGCGACAGCCTTCCATGAAACATACCTAACAATGGCATTATCAGAATGTTGCATTAGACAAATCCCGGGTCTAAGTCACTGTGGCAATTGTTTATATCTTGTATAGAGCCACTGTTCCTCAAGAATTTCCAGCTCATTCTTAACAATAGTTCCCCAGGAAATATTAACTTAAAATATTCCTCTGCACACACTTACCTTCCTGTTTGTTTAAAAAATTGTTCTTCAAATTCTCTTAAGGCTTTCCGAAGTCTCTTCTTGTCAGCCCTAGTTTCTCGGAGATGGTCAAGCAGTACAGGCCTGTATCAAGTAAAATACATATTTGCCATAGCCGAGCTCTAGCGTAATTGAGAGAGCATCATGAGTAGATTTCTCTCTTTAGTAAAAGCAGATTATAATATAGAAATATTCTGCCTAAAAGGGTGTCTTTAAGTCAGTACGGCACGCGCAGCGCCTGACCAGGGGAGCACACGCAGGAAGTCACATGACGAGACAATGTCGCAGGAAAGGAGAGAGGACAGGGACAGACAGGAGGCAAGCAGACTGAGCCCATTAGAAAAAGTGGTGAAGGTAAAAGCCATAAGAATGGATGAGGGAGAAACAGATATCTTGAAAGAATACTCATCAGTATGTAGTGATAGACTGAAGAGGAAACTATTTTAAAGAAAATTCTGTCCTTAATCTCGAGTATGGGGAGAATGGGAAAACCCTTGGGAATGAAATGAAGATCCAAAAGAAAGAAACACTGCAAATTTTACCCACTTCGTTCTACTAAGACAAGAAAGTAAAGTTATATACTTTAGAGCAGGAAATTTTATCTGGGGGACTTGTGTGTGGTTTCAGAAGACTGAGCTCTCTGAAATCATATATGGGCATTTTCATAAAAAACATGTCATTGCTTTCAAAAAGGTCTAACACTCAAAATAAGAACAGCTGTTTTAGAACAACTAACCAACCAACAAATAAATGAAAGGAAAGGAAGGAAGGAGGGAGGGAGGGAGGGAGGGAAAACAGAAAGGAAGGGAGGAAGGAAGGCACAATGATTTTCTGCTTCTAAACAGGTCACTCATCTTTGAGCTGAAATGGATATACCAAATGATTCTCCAAGCACACTAACATCTCCGCTTACAATGTAATGTAGTCCCTGATCTCACCTCATGTGGGTAGGAATTCCATCTCTATCTTGGGGCATACACTTAACACACTATAATACATGTTAAAGAAAATCTCATAATCTGGCCTGTAATATACAAACCAAAGGAAGGCCAAATGATCAATTAAGAGGAAAGCCCGCTACTGAATGATGATAATGACAACACTAATGAAAACCCAAATAGCTCCTGACTGAGGGGCCATTAGGAGACAAAGGGGAGCTCATTTACTAAAGGTCAAGGGGATCCTCAGTCTGGAGAAACCATCTTATTTAAATGGAACAGACTAGGATAAAGGCCCTGACAACTATTGACACAAACAAGACCTCAAATCCTTTTGGTCGAGTATTTTCAAAGGCCAAGAGTTAGACTGGGGCCAGGCCCGGGTGAAAAGATGTGCAACTATAGCGAACTGAACATCAGCATTTATAACATCCTTAGGACCTAATTGGGAGTCTTGGTTCCTCATGGCATTGGCTTCTCAATTCTCCAGTTAAGATGACAAACAGATTATGCTTTTAAGGCTACTCTCTTGTTTGACAGCATTTTTAACAGAGTCTAATAGCACTTCTGAATTTTGTACATATAAGATATCACAGACCACAAGGTGTTAAAAGGTGACTCCACATCTAGGATGCACACTCACATGGTAGCCTCATGTAAATTAGACATGGAGAGGGCCGGTGGTTTGATTTCTTTCTTCTCGTCTGGTAGCAGGACCCTTACAGGCTCAGTCTCAGAGTAGGCGAGGTGATCACCGCCAGGGAGCTGAGATGCTGCATTTAGCAAGGAAGGCTGTTGGCTCCTTTGTAGACAGTCTTCATCCGAGTCTTCTTCTTCCTGCTTATTGTGGGCAGAAAATGAGGTCACAAAATGCTAAGTGCCTCTTGAGGAAACAAAAACAGGAAGGGGAGCCATAAATAGGTACCATGTAAACAGTAAGTGACCCCTATGCCTACTGAGAACTGGAAAGGAAATAACCAAGAGAAACTCTTCCTCAGTTGCATAAAAAATTTACAGAAGTTAGTGAGCCAAGAAATACCCGTGCTGGGCTAAAATGCTCACCAAGTTCATCTTTGTTTGCTGGGCCAAAGAAGGCATAGACATACATACAAGATATAGAACAATCTGCTGCACTACCTAGTAGTCCCTCCCTTTTACCCAGACCTTCTGGGCCCCAGCTTCATAACAGTTATATGGATGGGTTAGGATGGCAAAACACCTTTTGCCATCCAGAAATACTCTAAATCAGGTTCTAGTATGGGCCACAGTCAAATAAAGAGGATACTCCGAAAATTGACAAATTCAGGGAAGAGTTCTATGAAGGCCAAAGCAAAATGAATCTATTCATTCTTTAAGCTGTTCTGGTAATGTGTATCACAACCAAAAGACTTTTTCGCAAGGAAATCTGAAAATCATACCCCATTTTAAATTATATTTACTAAATGGGAAAATTTCGAAGATTATGAATCACTATTGTCTTTGTCTTTAAAACTGGAAGTATAAATGTATCAAGTATATTTAAATTTATATTTGTTAATATTTATTCCTTTTTATATTGATATCTTGACCAAGTGACTGTTTGAATATTGATGGAGTAGGATTTGTGGTGCTTTTCTAGTTCTGTATTCCCGTAAATCACTCTTTATTAAAAGTAGTCTAACTCAATTTCAGTAGTCATATTTTCCATTGAAATGAATCTACTTACTTCTTGTACAGTGATGATCAAATGGTACCAAAAACAAATGTTGCATTATATCAAGTAACATACTGTCAATTTCCTGATTAAAGGAGAAAAATGGACAGAATGGAAAGGCCGTCTAGCTGTGTTGTAAATTAGATAATGCCCAACTGAAATCCATGGTTGGTTCTCCTCACCCAAGCCAGGGAAGCAAATGTTAAAACTGGCTTCAAAATTACAATTGCCATAGATTCCTGTTTCATAATAGTTTTCATCATCAGCCAATGTCAAGTAGAGTATTAGGGTTGAGGGAGACCAACCACATTTCTACTTTTTTAAATAACTGGCCTTGTTAGCAGCAAATACTGCCAAGAAGGCTCCTTTATAACTTTCATAGTGCTGTCTCCCCCACCAAACATCAATACAAAGCACAAGTATGGGTTTCTGGTTAAGGCAAACATCCTGACTTACAATCGTTGGAATCAGGGAAGGCGTTGACAAGATTTGCTTGATAATTCTGCATCGATCATAAAGAGGCTTTATGAGGTTCTTGTCTTGCTTAGTTACCTGAAGAAAACATGAAATTAATTACTGTTTCTTTCTCACACAGGAATTAAATTGATATTTTTAGCAGGCAAAAATAAAAACAACAGCAACGATTTTTGAATCCTCAAAGCAAGGGATCATAATAATATAAGCAACAGTAATTAGAAAAGGGGAAGTCATTTATAAGATACTGTAGAAAGCACATGCCAATTTTCTTTTAGGAAAAGTCTCTTAAAGGACAGGTCCAAGTTTACAAAGATGTTTTTAAAGCTTTTTGAAGGAGCCCTCAATGTGTAAGTGGTAAGGAGCCTGTTCTTTAATTACTTCTTCATTCTTAAAAAACCAGTGGGTGATTAAGACCTATTGATTTTTCTCCTGAAAGGTATTTTATCTGGACTTGAATGATTATATTCACAAAAACATACCTCATTCAGGTCTTCATCACTACATGCTTGGATTATAATACTAGCTTACTGGCTCTGACATCAAAACTATTTTGGGTAAAACAATTAACTTCTCTGAATCCTCAATTTATTGCCTATACAATAAGGAAATTAGAATTTCAAAGTTCCTTCCAAATAAAAAATTTCCTAATGTCTTGTTTCTCTAATGCATTCTATTACCCCTCTGCTGTATGACCCATCCCGAAGCACAATTTTCAACAGGTTATATTGCGCATAAAAGTTCAAATTGCTTCCTATCAATCACCCAATATATCAGTCTGCCTTCCTGCCTCTTCCATCCCCAGTGACCAAACTTCTCTGCTTGCTTTGGCTTTCCTCCCTGTTGTATCCTGCATCAATTTGCTACATACCTGCTACAAACAACTACCCTTTCCGTCTGGTCCAGCGGTTTTCCTTTGACAGGTAGTGAGAGGGGAATGATGGAAATCGTCCATAGCATAACCACCCAGGCATCTTTTATCAAAGTACAAATGTCTATGTGTGCCATCTTTTCTCACTTCCAGATGCCGTAGAGAGAATCTTTGGTAAAAGAAAATGGCTCAAGCAAAGTGTTGTTTTTTGTTTGTTTGTTTGTTTTAAGCTTTCTAGTTATTTTCATGTGGCCCTACCCTATTCCAGCATCGATTTTGTTTATAGGGAGCAAATTAAGAATGTATATTGATACCTTCTTATATATACTTTGCACAGAAACTCTAAAAGCATACATTAATACATGTATTAAAAACAATAGTTATGTGCTTGGGGGTGGGGGGACTCCAGAGCCTTTGCTGACGTGGGATGGGAAGAAACCTTTTTACTGTGTAGCCTTTGTATTTTCTTTTGCAACTATGTGAGAAAATATTACCTATTCAACAAATTAATTTTTGAAAAAAAGGATAAGTAGACAGAAGAGCTTTATTGGATCTTCTTCTTGGTGCCCTTTATCTCTAGAAATCTTGCCTTTCTCCAATGCTCAACATTTGGTTGCTGCCCACCTGACCCTACCCACAGTGCTCTAAAAGGGCAATAAAATGGGTATATGTGCCAGCACCAGTTCAGGATTTGCAAAAGAAAAAAAGGACATACATAGGAATTAATATCAGGCCCATGGGACGATTCATTTCCATTGCTCGACAGATACCCTGTGACCCAGAATTGACTAACTCCAAAACCATCCATAGATGAAAGGGAAGAAAACTACTCAATAGTGGTATCTGAACTGACAAGGCAATACTATAGGATTTATCAGCTTTAGTATGGGCTCTGACTAAACATCAAATGCAAAAATTTCAGAAAGAATCATAATAAAGGTCTCTAAAAAAGAAATGTCTTCATCTTGGAAGTTTTAATATTTAATGCGTTTTCAGCAATAAAGCAAGAATCCCAGATGAAAATCATCTGTCAAACGGAGTTTAAAGAAGTGGGATTGAGATGTTTTATTGAGTGACATCAGAGGAATGCAGCGTGAGAGATCCCCTCGAGGATTCAACAATCTGAACAGCTATAATTCAACAAAAGATTCCCTGTTCAACAGACAAACACATCTGAGGGATAAGCACACTGAAACATCTAAAGGTGGGCAAGTGGGACCGAACCGGCCAGCCAAGAAGAAAGAAGAGCTGAGACAAGCCGTGCACACAGCTGAGAGTTCACTGTGGGCTCAGCCTAGAGAGGGGAGGAATCGGGTTGTGGCTGGCACTCCCTTCAGCCAGGAGGAGCAAAGAGATTTACTGAGCATGCCTGCAGGAGTGGACACCATGAGCTCCAGCTGAGCCCAGTGACCTGGGCAGGGTGAAGCACAGAGGTACAGCCTCGGTTGTCTGGCAATCGGCATTCCAGACAGGAAAACAAAGCCATGGAGCCTGCCTGTCCCTTGATAAAAGAGACCAAGAGTGAACTAGCAAGCACAGGAAATACAGCTGAACAGATGGAGAAAAGAATTAGTGATACTGAAGACAAATCTAGAAATGATGCAGAGGGAAGAAGAGAGAGACTCAACATTAAAAAAAAAAAAAATTAAAGAACTCTAGGAGAGCTATCTGATTCCATCAGAAAGAGCAATATAGAAATAATAAGCATACAAAAAGAAGAGAGGGAGAAGGGAATGGAGAGCCTATTCAAACAAATAGTTGATGAGAACTTCCCAAACCTACAGAAAGAGCTAAATCCTTTAATCCAAGAAGCAAACAGAACACATAAGTACCTCAATCCAAAAAAGGCCTTCTCCAAGGCACATTGTATTAAAAATGTCCAAAATTAATGTCATAGAAAGAATTCTCAAGGCAGCCAGGAAAAAGAATAAAGTAAGTTATAAAGAAAAGCCCATAAGTTATCATCGAACTTCTTAGTAGAAACTCTACAAATTAGAAGAGAGTGGAACCAAATTATTCAAACTACTGAAAGAGAAATTACCAGCCAAAATAATACATCCTGCAAAATTGTCCTTTAAATATGAAGGAAAAATAAACACTTTTCCAGAAATACAAAAGCTGAGGAAATTTATCACCAGAAGACCTCCATTGCAAGAATTACTCAAGGAAGTTATTCTACTTGAAACAAAGAACAAAAGATAATAAAACTATGAGTAAGATCACCAACAAGTTTACAGAAATAAACAGGGATAATTTGTGACAACAGACATAAAAGAGGAGGAAATCAAGATCTGAATTTGCAAAGGAGGATGAGATCAAATGCATTCAAAAGAAAATTTAAAATGATTGCATATATGAAGCCTTCTTTTTCAAAAACCTAATGGTAAACACCCCCCTACACACACACACACACACACACACACACACACAAAACTTAAAAAAAAAAAGAGGAAACAGGAAAAAAATGTATGGAATACCACCAAACAAAAACAGCAGACAGAAACACAAAGGAAAAGAACCAATGGAGGCACAGAGCTACCAGAAAACAGATGATAAATGGCTATAGGAAATCCTCATACATCAATAATTACCCTAAATGTAAATGCACTGAATTCACCAATACAAAGGCACGGAGTAGCAGACTGGATCAAAAAACAAAACTCAACCATATGCGGCCTTCAGGAGACACATCTAAACTGCAAAGACAAAGATAGATTCAAAGTGAAAGGGTGGAAAATGATTCTCCAAGCAAATAGCATCCACAGAAAAGCAGGTGTGGTGCTTCTATCTGACAAAATAGATTTCACTATATAAGAGATAAAGATGGACATTTTATAACAATAAAAGGGATACTACATCAAGAAGACATAACATTTCTTTTTATATATATATACACACCCCAAAATATATAAAGCAACTACTAACAGAACTAAAGGGAGCAAATGACAAAAACACAAACATAGTAAGGGACCTCCATTGACTGCTCTAGATCATTCAAACAGAAAATCAAAAAAGAAATACAGTGAAACCTCGATAAAATGGACTAATTCTGTTGAAGGCGTGTCCATTAAAGCTGAAAGGTTTTCCGAATGTGTATATTTAAAAATTGACAAATTAATTTACCTTATGTTAGTTTTTACTTATGTAGACACGTTTGTGTAATTAAAATTACATATAAAAAGTTTAATTTCACAAAAAAGTTTTCTGTATGTTATAGTAATTTTAAATATATACTGAATAGGTCTACAAAATGCATGCATTCACCATCGCTTCAAGTAAAGCCAGGGGCATGGCTTAGCGCACGTTGGAACATCAGCCAGCAGGCATTAAAACTGCCTCAGAAAGTCACGCCACACAACAGAACTGATTACCGCGCACAGATGCAGTATGATCACACGCTAATAATTCGCTGAACACTGTTTACGAGCGGCGACTCTTGGATTTAAATATGTAGACAATCATTGTAGATGTGTAATATTTATTTATGTCGGCAAAGTTACTGCAGTGTTTTTTTCCCAACATATGGCCTAGTCACTAAAATTTGTTAAAAATAACAGTGAATTAATAATAAAAAATAACCTGTTAATTTAATTATAAGCAAATCTTGATTAAAAGCATTTTAAAATTAACAGGGTGTTAATTTTCACATATGACATATGGACTGGAAATTTTGCCCATTAAATCTGAAGTCCATTAAATCAAGGTCTACAAAATCAAGGGTTTACTGTATCAGCCTTAAATGACACATTCCAGCGGTTCTCAATCTGTGGGTTGCGACCCCTTTGGGGGTTGAGTGACTCTTTCACAGGGGTCACCTATTTCCGATGGTCTTAGGAACCGAAACACAGCTCCTCTATCCATATCCAGGTGGGTCTGCCCACATGCAGATACGCCCACATACAACATGAGGAACTGTATTAAAGGGTCTTGGCATTAGGAAGGTTGAGAACCACTGCGATTAGACCAATTGGACATAATTGACATTTACAGAGCCTTTTATCCCAGAACATCAGATTATACATTCTTTTCCAGTGCACATGTAACATTCTGAAGGATAGACTATATATATGTTGGATCACAAAACTAGCCTCAACAAATTTTAAAAGATTCAAATCATAAAAAGGATTCAAGCATATTCTCTGACCACAGTGCTTTCCAATTAGAAGTCAGCTGTAAAAAGGAAGTAAACATACTACTACAAAATGAC